GGGAGGGGGAGGGAACGGGAGGAGAGGAAAGAGGAGGTGTGCGGGAGGGAGAGAGATGGGGAGCCTGAGAGAGAGGGGGAGAGGGAGTGAGCGGCGTCTTCCTTTGCCGAGGGCGCTACACTCGGGTCGACACACGCTGACGGACGAGACGTCGAGACGGAGCTGGGGTAGCAATCTGGGGTGGAGGGGGTGGGGGGGCTCCAGCCCCTCACCTCCCCTGTCGATACGTAAACACGCTTTGTATCGGCAGCTCAGCCGGGGCCCAGTGCACACTGGCGAAGGAGCGAGTGAGTGAGTGGAAAAGGAAAACTGTTGTCCCACACTAAATGTGGCGAGCCGGGGAGCCCCGCAATTAGGTGCGAGCTAAGGGCGACGAAAGAAAACGAAAGCGGGAATCAGTCTTCATTACACTTGCCCTCCGCGACCTAAACCTAAACCCATCAAAAGAGTATCACGTCTGGCGTTTCCTCCGTGTTTATTTTTTTTCTTCTTCTCCCAACCCCGACAAGCGGCAATAAGAAATGGACAGAGGTGATTCGCTCGAAGTACGTTTCATTGCTCTCGCTCCGTCTTCATTCTCGTGGGACCCTTCAGCCCTATAAGACGGAACGGGGCGGTCTGTCCGGCGGGGCGCGCAAGAGAGCAGAAAGAGGAGGGCGGGGGTGCAGGAAAGAGACAGATAGAGAGACAGAGAGAGGAGAAATAAGAGCGGAGAGCAGGGGTCCGGGCTGGCAACGCCTCGCGTCCAGGACGAGCGCGACAAAGTGAGAGGAATGAAACATCAACAAAGTAGAAATAGCCGCTTGGCCCGGCGACCCAGCGGAGCGCGCAGGCCGGCGAGCGGTCCCTGGCGAACCGTCGTAGTGGGGTGGAATCCGACCGGCGAAACGTTACAAAATCATACCGATGTGGAAAATAAAAATAAAATAGCAAACGACCACCCCTAAAAAAAATAAGCTCAAATAAAATTAATCGTGACATGCGTCACCTGATAAAATGCATTTTCGTGGGCGAAGCGTTTTTCATGCAAAACAACACACGTCACATCAGTTTTTCTAGCGTAATCCAAGCAAACGCCGTGCCAAGCCGAGCCGACACCACGGCACGAACACTCGGCCCCTCCCCCACTGTGTAGTCTGGCTGCCCCAGACAGGCTGCCGCCATATTTCGAGGTGAGGCGGCATGCCCTGTCCTGCAGTGCGCCGACCTGGCCTTGTGCCGACGGGAGGGCGGGAGAGAGGGAGGGAGGGGAAGAGTGAGATCGCGTGCCGGACCTAAGGGTCATGCACCAGGGGGTTGTTCGGGGGGAGGGTACGACCTGGGGGCTCAGCGAGATTCCTTCAGCGATGGGTTTGGTAGGCCGGTAGAGTAGAGAGAAATGGATGGCGGTGCCTGGTGGTGCGTGAACTTCTGACCTCGGCGGGGCATGAGGACGGCGCAGGGCTTGTGCGTGAGGGTCGCACCAGACTAAATCCTCCCAGCCCCTCCCACCGCCGCACGCAACTCCATTCCAGCTCCAACCGCGACCAACAGAAAACGCTTTCCGATACGAGAAGTCGAATCACCCGGAGGCACGGTTGTACAAGCGCCCTTCGATATGGTAATCTGGGCCGGATCAAGAGACGGGATATGAGACGACCGCACACTGAAAGGGGAGGGGCCCGAGGCAGGGTGCGAGCGGAGCGGTCCTGCGAGGAGTGTCGCGCCTCCAGGCGCAATT